AATTCCAGTCAATAACCAGCTGTTACCACTTTCGGTTCTGCTGGAAAGCTGAAGGATGCCAATGTGTGAATAAAACAAACCTCATCGCAGACAGACTCTAAGTGACCTTTATACAAAAAGGCTCTCTAGAAAATACCGAGCTCCTATAGCATGGATTTTTTTCAAGCCATGGCATATTTGTGTTCACTAGTTTGCCTTATGGGGGAGATGGCAGCTCAGGAGGAGCAAGAGCTATGAATTCTTGTTTACTCTTAGTATGTGTCCTTTAAATACGCAGTATGCATAAAAGAGTACAGTTGACAAACAAGGTACTCAGAGAGCTACTATTTGTTTCCCTCAAACCAGTTACGTCAGTTCAAATCCTAAAAAGCCTAGAAATAGTACTTGCCTCTACCAACCTCGGTGCCAAGAATGCAAGTACAACAACAAGTGAACAAATCCTTTCCCTCCTGCCAGAGGCCAAAGTGGAAAGTGGAAGAAATGGAGATTAACAAAATAAATGTTTTCTCACCAGTCATTTAGGTTGTTTTGGTAAAATAAATAATAAAAATACAACTTTAAAAATACTATAATGACATATGAGTGGAAAACTGAACGTGGGTATGCTACTGAATGTGCATCTTGCGTTCAGGTGCTTGAACATTGTCATGCAAACTGCCTATGTTACTACAGGAAATATTGTCTGCTAATCAAAGCCTAATGAATGAGGTTTTTAGCATTAAAATGTTGAATTTTAATAATCTTCATATTAATTTTCTTTATACTGTCTTTATGGTAGTAACAAAATCCATGAATGCACCCGAAGACCGAGACTCCAACAAACTGTCTAACAGAACTAGTCAAGCCAATCCTTCATATTGCCCTGACATGCACCCTGAGAAGACAGGCAGATAGGCAAATAACAGCCATCTAAGGGACAGAAGGTACAGCAGAAATAACAGTGAGAAGTAAAGAGAATTAAATACAGCACAAATATGGATTCTATTAGTATAAGCGAAAAAAACCCAATACGTTACTTTTTGTGAAATGGAGAATGCTGCAGGTTGTGTGCTTCAGTGCAAAATTTCATTTGTGGAAGGTGAAGGACCTGGGAATAGGGATAAAGTAAGGGGAGAGACTAAGCCTGGAGGGCCACAGAGGGTCCAGGCACCTTCCCTGGAAATTAACAGGAACACTGGAATGAGCCCTACCATCAGTCCTGTGTGAGTGAAGCAGCAGTGTCAGGGCCTATGTAGGCAGAAGCAGGTGATGAGAGTGAGGGGAAGCGCTGGCCTCACCAGCAGGCTGTGAGGTGCCTGGGGAAGAGCCAGCACATGGGATGCTGAACCTCTTGGCAGAGGAAAATAACAAAGTAGGAAAGAACAAAAGTATCAAAATTTATACTCTTTTTCCTATCAAAAAGAGCAGCTAGGTTTGAAATTTCCTTATAACTCTTAGACCCTCTCCAAGTAAGACATGTAAGATCTAACGAAGTACCTCTCAGTTTTCTCCACAGATTCCCTTTGCCCTGCCCTACAGTCAGGGTTATAATTTAAACAAAGTAAAATTTAAAAAAAATCACATATTGTCTGACCAGATCACTGCAGAAGTGACAGGCACACAAACAAATTTGTGTCTCTCTTTAGCCTGGTCCCTGACTCAAGTCAATGGTCTGTGCTCCACCATTTGATATGATTAGCACTGTTTTGATCTAATTTTTTTTTTTTTTTTTAAGAATCACACAGGTGCTCTTTTCCTAGGGAAAACATCCATTTTCTATCATGAAATACAAGTATTACACAAAATCTCTAAACTTTGGATCCTTTGGGAAAAGAATGTCAGTAGTTGCACAATTGGTTTCTAAAGTCTGTCCTTGATCTGGATGCATGAGTTGAGCCATGACTTGTAAATTGTAACCAGACAAAATAAAACATTAACAGCAACCCTAACAGCATAAAAATGCACTGTAAGAATCGATCCTGTACAGTGATATTCATTTAAGCACAATACATTCATCAGTACTTTCATATCACAGACAAAAAAATAGAAAAAAATTTTGAATAATCTGTATTCAAGAACACATTTGTTGAAGCAGCAGCTCTATTATTTTCATGTAGAAGCAGGTTTCCCTTACAGTTTTACAAAACTTGCATGGTGTAATGCTTATAAACTTTATTTCATTCACTGAAAATTCATTATCTCTTCAGAAGTATTCCCTTTAATAACAAAAATTACTTTCCAGGCAAGACAATCCTACCAAGTCTTTCCCACAGGCACTCTTTCTACACTTAACTGAACAAGGTCCTTCTCTTATATCAATGAACTTTCAGAATTGAATCAAAACTCCAGCGCCAAACAGCAACACAGCACTGTGTGCAAGTAAATACGCTGAAGTCCTACAACTGACAAGATACAAAACTCGAAAAATACACATGCACGCTCCATAATAAAAATCTGCAATTTTTTTTAATTGATACTGATGAAAGAGACAGAAGTTTTAATTTGAGAAGAAACATTTCTTTTATTTTCTCTATTGCTAGGCTGCTGCATGTTAATACCAGTGCCAGCAGGAGACTCATGCATTGCTTATGGTGCAAAAGCAGCAAGGCTGCAGCCTTTCTGCTTCAGAACAAATGGTCCAGTGTGCTTTTTAAAGCCCGCTAATACAAAAGAACCAGATGTAATCCTTTCAACTAACAGCATGCTCAGCTAACTGATTAATTCAGCTCACTTGGTAAAATGCAATCTTGTTCCAAGTTAGAGGAAACCTTTGGGTTAGTTGTGAACACATATTTCAAGAACTACTGCAGTTTTAAGCTTTCCAAAACCCTACAGTTAGATAAACCAAATGTGTACCAACAGGAGGTGAGTGCAAGGGTGTGGCTTCACTTTAACTTCGGGTGGGAATCCTCTATGACTATGTCATGCCCAGGTGAAAGGAATTCCCTCACAGAATGACACAGTTCCCAGTGGAAAATCTCTGACTTTCCCCTAGGATGGATCCCACTGGTTTCACTGCATTTCTCCTCCTGCCAGGGAACTGCAGCATCACAGCAAGACAGCTCTGTTTCTAAACTGGAACTCTATGCACACAGGGATTTTGCAAATACCTCCAAGACATAACCACTCATTTTACCTCTTTTGTCAACTCATCTTTTATTATATAAATAGGAATTAGCATTACACATCTAAACAACGTAAAACAGTGCTTCTTCAGCACCAGACACCCATACAAACGTTGCTAACATGCCAGACTTCTTGAAATAACTCTGAATACAATTACCCTAAAGTGTGATCCTAACTGTATATAACTTTTCTTCCCCATAGTTTTAGTAAAAATTAAGGGGAATCAAGTATTAAGCCTCACAAGTCAAAACTAAGAGCATAAACAAAATTAATATTTGCAATTGTAAGTATAAGCAAGTGGTATTAAAAAAAAAAGTCTACTTGGCAGTCTGTCCTGCTCAATAAATTAACTCCCATAGTATTCCTCCAAGTTATGAGCAGATCCAAGAGTTAACAATTTATGGTCACATTTAATATTTCAAACTAATTTCCAGCTGCTTAGGTCTGATACTTAAAGAACGAGGGTGTAGATACCTGTCTTGAGTGGGGAGAACACACAGAGACAACTCCCTTTCCCACCTGTGACTTTCAGATGAAATTAATTTGAAGTTATACACCTGAAAGTAAAATCAAATGATGGTCCAACTGAAAGGAAAACAACAAAGGAAAAAAGGATCCTGTACAAAAAAGCAACTTGGGAGTTCCAAGCACCAGTTAGTTCAATATGTACAATATTCTGGGGCATCACAGCATGAATAGGAGCAAGTTCATCTGTCCAGTTTAAACAGAAATCATTAAAAATTATTGTCAAGCAAATGCATCTGACTCATTTTGGCTAATGAAAACATACCCCTCAAATTGAAGAATTTAGGTAAATTACATTTCTTCTAATCCTGCCAAAAACATTAAAGAAAATGGATTTGACAAAGATAAAAGCAAAGTAGGCGTGATAGATCATCCATTAGCAATACAAGTATGGCTAATTCTTCCTGGTAGTGAAATGATTTGGGATACAACCCATTCTATTTTTTTTTTAAATAAGCGTTTAGACATGGCATACACCATGTCCTAGGTTTGAGAGTACCACTGAGTTTTTATGAAGATCAGGCCTTAACAACAATGTACTAGGAAGAGAAAGAGTAAGGGCAACTTGAAGTATTTTAGCATACTAATGAAAAAATGCAATAAAGTAGAGGCTTTATAATCTCTGCAAGTTACAGAAAATGGTTTAAGATGGTGTGAACTAATACAATTATTACAATTGTAATAATTACAACTAATACAATTAATTTTAAACAAAGGAACAAGATGCACATTTCACAGAGAATCACATATATAGAATTAATATTCCACTTACTCTCTGTTATGCCACCTAGTAAACTACTAGGCTGGTTGGGGGTTCGCTTTTTTTCACAAATGCATTTTTGGTGTGCAAGGTTGTACTGCATTTTCCAGCAAACAACAACTTTGATTTATTCATGTAAACATCAGAAATGCATCAGCAAACAAAGCCATATGGAAGAAAGAGAGATATAAGGGATTTTCTGTTTGCTTTAGAAACCTGACATCTGTGGGTAGCATCATCTAAGTTATGATCCAATAACTTTTGATATTTTGGTCATTTTCATTTAATCAGTCCAAACCACATTTAATCTGATGATACAAAAAGCTCCAATGGGAGAACAACAGAGGAGGATTAACGTTTTAGAAACTTAAAATAGGAATACACTTGAATATTCTTCCCTTTCACATCATAAATTTAAAGAACAAGGAAACTCACATCTGTTCTAACTTAGCCTTCGAGCTTAAAAAGCAAAGAAAATGTATTAGGGTTATTTATATCTTGTGCATCTTTTGGGAAAGATTTTCGGAGCCGGACCCAGCCGCCGGTGGCATCGATCACCCACGCCCCGCAAACTTCCCGCGGGGTCGGGGTCGGGCTCGGCGGTACTTACCCCCGCAGAGGAGGAGGAAGAGGAGAAGGCGGCGGCAGCCCGCAGTCCGCCCGGCGGAGGGCATCTTCCCCCTCACCGGGACTCCTGCGACCCCGCCTCGGCCGCGGCGCTCCGGGCAGCACCGGGCGAGTCCCTGCGGGCCCTCAGTCGGGCCGGCCCATGGCCCGGGGCGGCGGCAGCGGGCCGCGATGGGACGCACCAAGGC